TAATCATAGGTGTAAACATTTTCTCCGTAGCGATCTCTACAGGGCCTCAACGGATCGAACGATAGAAATATGAATTATTGAAAGGAACGAGGGGATAGGACGGACAGTTTTTGTTGTTAATTCCTTTAGGTGTATCACACGAACGTTTTGGCTTTGGTGGTGCACCATATCGTGCTACCGTTGCGTTCTAGCGAGAAGCGAGCCTACGTATGCGCCTTCTGTGGGTAACGCATAGGAACAAACAGAGGAAAGCAGATAACGCCCTTTGAAATAAACAAGGAAAATGACAGGATAATCCTCTTCGTCTCAAATTCTTGCTCTTTTTAAGTGTGAACTTTCTTTCCGAGTTATTCGCTCACAGGTCGTTTTCTTTATATCGCTTCGGTTTGTGGCGAATACAGACTTTGCTAGCGGTCGCCTTGTTGGTGTAGTGCTGCCAGCAGCACCGTAGTAGTACTTATTATGGTGCCAATTACCGGTCAGGCCCCGTTAGTTTTCAGTATGTTCATTGTAGCGGTTTGATACTGGGCAGTAAAGAAGATGAAGGGAAATCCAGAGAGCATCAAGACAAGAGATCAAGTTGTAGAAAGAAATCGTCATGGAAAAAAGATCACCAACGCAATTGGTTCCCCAAGTAATCTCTTATGCACGGGCGAGGAAGGCAGTTTGATCGGATAGTCGTCGCCACCGGAGTAATCTTCTTTCCCGTCCACTTTCGGGTGGCATATTTTGCGTTAAGCATTTGAATGGACTGCGACAAGGCCAAACCGATTTTAGCAGTTTTGGACACCAGCAACGGTCAATGGTCCTAAGGGAAATTGGACCAGTTCACTTTGATGGTAGTGTGCAGTGCAAACAAGTCAAGAAGATGGTCGTACTGAGTGTCTCATACATATACTTTAAAGGAACTGGGAGCAAAGGAATCGCAACTATGGATGGGATGTGGGGTCAGTAACGTCTGGCTAAAACGGAAGCTCTGTCTGTTTCGGGTTCGTCCTCTCACTGTTTCTCACTTTAGGCTTTTACCCCAGATCCTAGTTCCTGAATGATTGTATAAATAGGTTCGGGTCTGCGGTAAGAAATGATCACTACAGTATACAGCAAATAACAACAACAACAAGATGGAACAAGATACAAAGAAAGAAAGGAAAAAAGACGGATGCGTGTTCTGATCGATGGCAGATGATCTGCATGCGCGCGTGTCATAGGCACGATTATACCATTTTGAAGCGCTTATGCTTTTTTTGTTAGTATATGCTGGGGACTATGTTATATAGGTTGTATCTAGACAAGCTTTTATAGCCACATGAGATGTGACCTTTAATGACATAAGGACATATAACCCTAACATAGGTATTGCAGGATTAATAAAATGTTTACTTTGCCAAATAAATAAAATATAGTACAAACAAATGAAAAGCCCAATTGGTTCATTGTTTTTCATCTTTAATTAAAAGAGGCCCAATTGTATATGCGTGTGTTTACGTTCAGCTATTTTGCGGATGTGACAGAATGCAACGACGCAATGTATGTGGGTATAAAATAGTATAGGTCTCTAATAGCACTCTAAATGTGTGTGACGAAATAGAGAAAATATAAGACGTAAACGACTATGTTCGGTTCGACTGTGACGGTTCGCAGCCGGTTAACTTAAATACCCTGATTTATCGCAAATATTTCTCTGCAAGACAATTCTCTTTAAGTTAATGCATAACAAAAAAATTCTATGTCAAATATGCCATATGTTCATTTTCTATTACGAAATTCACAAACACTATTATCACCATATCAGTTTTCTGTGGTTTGCGATCGTTGCCATCTAACAACCCAATACACACAACGTATCACCTATTTGCGTAGAACTTTTCCTTAGACACCGGGATCGTGCTTATGCCGTACAGCGATATTCTGACCTCGAGTACCATTTCAGTCGTCCATGGCTTAGATTCGAAGAAAAGGTTTGGTCAGAATTAAAAGAATCAAGAAGGTCAGACAACACAAACGGCATCGAAGACAGTAGCAGACGTTTATGACGGACAACGGCGATGGCAATGACAATAACAGCAATAACAATGGCTGAACAGGAGCTGTCTGCTCTGTGAGAAAAATAAAATGGCATTAAGCGTTTCATGTACCTCTACATCCGGTCTTGCGTGTGCGTGAGCTATTCAGTGTTTCGGGATATCGAAGCTTCTGCTTGTTGAAGCATGAGAGGCTGAAACTGGCCTCAACCATTGACCAATACGTTCTGTTTCCAACAAATGAGAGCCATTGCAGTCATACAATGTACTGACCAACAAGAGAACAAGTATCCTGTTCGGTTATGATCTGAGTTACCCAGATCATTCCAGGCGGCGTACAGCTTCACCAAATTATTATTAGCATGTTTTCGTATTATCGGTTTACACTGACCAGTTGGCAAATTTATATCATCCATACATTGAATCAGACAGCATACGCTAGATCGGACCTAAGATTTACTTAATTTTACCAATTGAATCTTTTGTTCCGTATGCTAACTTGATATATGCTGCTAATACGTAAACGATGCGTGTATGCATTTTATCAAAATAAAGTTGCAGGTCACAATGTATGCTCTACTATATATACACAAGGAGTCCTGCAGAAGCCTAGAGTAATGTATGATTTTCAGCGGTTTTTAATTTCTACAGCATCCGCCAGTAAGAATTCGTGTTTATCATTTCGAAGTATCCTTAAACACAATGAACTAATAGTCCCAGGGGCATTTCTATTCTAGATCTTTTCGATTCTATTGCACAGACCAATACAAACTGAGGTTCGTTCAATGGTTATTTGAGGTAAACTAGGCAACAAAGTCTGCCGTACGTCAGTGCCATTATTTGGAAGTATTGAGCATTAAAAATGTGCGCCTTAAATTATTCGTTCATTCCAGAAACCTTATAAATTTATAACATTTCGAACGTACTAAAGCAACTAGCAAATAAGACAGGATATGTTTAATGAAAACATCACTCATTAAACAAATTGTTCAGTTACGGGTCAGAAACAGCCTTTAGTAGATGAGCGTAACATGGATCACTTTACTCCTAATTTACGTATCTGTAATAGTTGTGTTATATATATATAGCTTCCGACCTTTAAGTCCTTTGCGCATTACTATAAGAACCGCGAGGCGCGCGTGCGCTCGGCCTCGGAACGATCTAAAAGTCCGATGTCCTTCGAACCTTAAAAGAAATGTTCTTAATCAGGGAAATATCTCTTTTAGGCTAGACTTTTCAACCATCTGATGTCTTAGGTCATGGCCGTTATCGGTGCCGTGTACGCAGATACTTTCTTGATAAAAAATAATTCCTTAGAACATTATCAAAGGAAGTATAACATTAGCTACTTTTCGGTTATTATGCAATAGATATACTGCGCCGTGACGTCTTTATAAATTGTGTACGTAGGATACGCATGTTTCAAAAACAAATATTTCATAAATTCTCCCGTTGTGTAACCTTCGAGATTATCCATAGTTATATTTTCAGTTATCATTTATGTGGGCAAGGCTTCGGAATTACTTTTTGGTATTGTTTCAGGGGCTATTAGAAGACCTTGCAAACCTCATCTGGGGTCCTGCAACAGGTCTGTGAGGTGGCAAAGTAACCACATCAGGACCCCTAGATCTTTTTCACTTCTCTGGTTTTTGTTTTCATAAGTCGTTTGCCATATTCCACCAACTTGGAGTAATTAACACGCCCATTGTTCAGAGATGCTTATCTACTACCCAGATTGAAGAATTTCCTTAAGGTCTATTAAAGTTAATTAATCTATTAAAGTTAACCGATACCAAAATCTGAAACCGTCCTTCTGGCCATTTTGAATGATATGAAAGCTCCTGTGACAACCATTTGTAGTCAATGTTTCTATTGTACATGAAACATAACTTTATTCAATATGTTAAATAACCAAAGCAGGCTTCAGGGTCGTGTTATTGCAATAACGATGGCTGCACCTACGTGAGCTGTATTGTTATTCTGCATAGTTAAACAATGAATGTAAAGTATAGGTAAAATTCAATCGTAAACCTAACCAGATCTGAATTTTCATCCGAATTATTTTGCTCTACCGGCGATCTTCTGTCGAAGTTCTGTCATATTATGTTTTGTGATAATCGTCTCGATTATTGGATGCTACGCTGATGATATCAAGATCTTCAACCAAAATCTGCGTGAACACAACATGACACGCCAGGAATTCGCACTCGTTTATTCGGGCGGATCTTCAATCAAACTGGAAAATGACAATTAATTACGGTTTTTTTTTTTTAAATTACTGATTAGTATCATATATACGAAATGAAAATACAAATAGGGAATAATAACGTCAGTACGCCAACGTAGAACAGAAATCACAGAATCAAACACATGGCACTAATATTGATGTTATGTAACCCGGTTTGCTGCGTATAACTTCAATATGTTCACTGATAATAGAAAAAGTCCTATGGAACCTTACCATATTAAACTGATCCTATGTTATCATTATAAGGATGCTTATTCTATGGATCCTATAAAATTGAAGTCGAGCAGTCGAATTGTTAATAGGGCAGAGTGGGGTTTGCGTCGCGACTGATTTCTTAGTTACTAACCCGTTCACGTAATGCGCATATTTAAAGCATTAGCAGAATTTGGAGCAGTTGTCAAATGTAAATATTTTCTAGATTGTTCATAAAAAAAAAAACATTATATCGTACTTTTTAAACAAAAAATCTCTTTCTGGCTCAGTTCACCGTAGCAATTATATTGTGTTCGCTATGATTCGTCATAGCGTTTACAATTAACGCACATGGGGTAGTCCACGCAATTGGTGTGACCCATAAACTATTTTTATAATGGCTTCGTTGAGGTTTCTAAACTCTTTGCGGTGATGCAACTTTTTTTACCTATGGGCATCAAGTGAATCTTTGAAATGTTTGGTTAAATTGATCTAAGGGTACCACGAACGTCCTAGGAGAACTCATGAGGTATCGAAAACGAAGTTAAGGACCTCTTCGCTACACAGTGGTCAGCTTTTCATGTGATATATCGTTACTTGCCTCCAATGAAGCGTCTTATTGAGTATGGTTCCTTCTTTTTTATCTCTATATTTGAATAACCTACAAGAATTAGAGAGGCAGCGCATGTAATCTCTTTGATCACGTCTAAATTTTATTAAATTTCGACTTAAATGTGACGCCACTATGTTTTCTAACCAGGTAATATCGGTGATCTTTTACTCGTTGTGGCGTCCTCTAGACAAAAACGCGCACTTAATATTTGCGTGATCATTATATCATGGAGCAACGTGTACGCACTACCAGCTTATATTTTCTTTGATCGTAGTACCCCGTTAACTGACCTAATTTTTGAAGTAATTTTCTTCCCTGACTTGTGTACAGGTTGCTATATAGTAGAAGCCCCTATTCCATATTTCAGAAGCTCTGCCACTACATCAATCCGAGCATTAGGTCGAATTTGGTGTAGAGGCAAATAGCCCCCTCGAGCCTCTTGTTCCTTTTTACATGTAACTTAATTTTTATTCAAATACCTTCAAGGTTTAAAAGCTGGATTGGGATTACCTGAGGTTTCTTAACTCGTCAATTTTTTCCACCAATATTTCATGATGACATATGTGGCCACTGAACATCCGCTTGCGGTGAAAATGGAACAATTCACATTGCGGGACGTAATGGTTGCTATGAAATTCTGGTAGTCTTCAACACTCGCGACCTTTTTACAGGCGGACCATCACGGATTTTAGCGGGCTGCTAATGTATTGTTCTTAACCCCACGGTGCCTGATGATGCCAGCCCACAAGCTAACGCAGCTAAGAAGGATTTGTCTGCGAACCTTCAGTTCAAGGTAAGCTCAGTTTCATGAAAGTTTAATATGTATGGGTTCTCAAATTTTCTAGTTATTCCTTTGGATACAATGGTAGGGATTATCAAGAACTGGTGGTTTGCAAGTAGTAATGATAATAAGAATGGCCTTTACGATATTCATAGGCAATACGATATCAACATTTAACACAGAGTGCTGATGCAAACATATATAATTTATTTCACAGCCTTAGTTTTATACAAATTCTCGTCTGTGGTGTAAGCTACGCAGAACAGCATGTTTCCAAAAATTACACGTCTGGTCGCTCTTGTCGTGTAAATGCATGGGAATAATAACGATTTCGTCAATCTAGCCGTTAATGCTTTATAAATTAATCCTTATAGCAACACGATCAACTGTGCATGCAAAATCCGTAAGACCTAAAAAGCTTGATATTGCACAGAGTACAATGATGTAACCTTCATCGATACCTGTAATCATGTCGAGCAATTTCTGCTCCGCTTATTCCTTAAGAATAGCACTTTCAGTTTTGCATACAAAACATACTATTATGTACATGTACATTGTTTATCTGCGACTTTTTTTGCAGAGTCTTCACACAGCTAACATTGTGAATGAGTTGACCACTTGTTTTATTACGTTTGCGTGTATATATCAGAAATATCAGAGTGCCTATTGGTATGCAATATTTTGGCAGCGCCGATATGCAGATAAGCCCAACAGATACGTGTATCGTATCGTGCACAACCGTGGAGCTTACAGGCTGAGGAGCCCTGTACGTTAGTAAAAACTTCTACAAACGTTGGAACAGCAATTCCCTTTCACCACTGCTGTCTTATTGGCGCTCTTCGTTCGTTTCTTAGGTACAATGTTTACTTTGCTCGTATTTGGTTGTTATTGTGTTTATAGCCGCGAAACTATGTTTGATTTGGACAGAGGAGCTGCCGCTAGTGTTGACGCTGCTAACCCAGTCGCTGTGTGTCGAACACAGAATTCTTTACGATGATTTACAATAATAGGTTCGTATATAGTTTATCTTTTGACTCGTTAGGAACACATAGGTAGAGGCAGAGAGAGAGAGAGACCGAGAGTTAACCTATTCGCATGCCAAGTAGTAGGAACACCTTGCATGTACAAGGCCAACCCTATTTCTTGTTTACATTCAACGTCAAAGGTGTAAGAAAAAAAGGTTCCCTTATGGATTCCTCGCTCGTTTGGGGATTTATAACAGTATCTATGCCATTAGCCCTAACACTAGGTAGGATAACATCACCGGAGGGTTCTCGATACTAGCTGTCAATACTTGTAACAGAATCCAATCAACTTCAAAAGTTTCTCTGCTGGCTATGAGTCGTTCAAACTAGCTCTCATCTAGTAGCCCATTCCTGTAAAATTACTTCATAAAATTGGAACGTAAATTTTTCGGAAAATTTGCATTATTTATGCTTCGTCTTGTAGAAAATTACGGCATTACGCCGAAAGCCATGAAGATGTAGCAAAATTGGTGGAACGACGAGTCATTTTACTATTTTTATGAACACTTCATTTAACTTAGCACTAAGGTTAGCAGTTTGGTGCCTGCATCTTCAAATTTCCGGTTGAAGAATTAGTAGCCGGGTGTCGAGGCGCTATTACCGTTGACGTTCCATCTACCCATCTTAATGGAAATTAAGGGTGAAATTTAGATTTTCATCACGATACATTAGTTGTCAAGAATCAATTATAACTAAACGTCCCTAAACGAACCATGTGTAGTTCCGCTGAGGTATTTCTTGATTTAACGAAATATGTCACCTAACCGGGACTTGAACTTGCGACCTTGATTATTTATACGGTCCATCTGGTGCAAGTAGCAAGTAAACTGAGCTTAAACGAACTTTTCAGCTCTGAAGTAAATCTCTCTAGACACTGCTACGGCAGCCATAACGCGTGGACAAAGAAGGGCTTGTGGAAAAACGTATGTTCTCGGTAGGATTTTTATAATAAATACCGGAATAACACAAACTGCCGATGAAATGGAGAAACGCTACCTTCTATGTTCTTCGAGTCTTTTCGAATTAAAACAGTTTCATCATAGGTTCGTCAAATCCATGTTCGTTAATCGCGAACAAACTCAGAAGCCCGCTAAAGCACCGTACATACCTGTCCATGCTGACAGAAACTAACACATAGAACGCATGCGTTGTTTCATTTTTTTAATCGTATTTTATAATGAACCGTTAAAATGAAAAACTAACTAGACCAGAGTTTAGGGCGTGTCTGCATTAACTGGTCCTATGGGCGGTAGGCGTGCATGCAGAGGTTTCAGAGTGAATCTTCAGAATGCGTCCATTAATACAAAGATTCAATTTTGGTTTTACCAACTTTTTCCCAAGCAACGTTTGACATGTTGAGTACATAATAGAGTCGATTGGTTGTAAAAGATACACGATATTTTTCTATCAACATTAGAACTTATATATATGATTAATATACTCCACAAGTTATAGTTACAATATATATACATATTATATTATTACCTTATGTAATTCTCAAAATGCAAGATGCGTTTGTCTAACGTCTGCAATACGGTATATAGTGATGAACATGCTACCATTCAGCCGTATAAATCGTATTCGTGGCTTATGTGTCACAAGGCCTATGGATTCATAATAAAAAAGTAGAAATTAAGTGATGGCTGTGACTGGTCCGGAACTGAAATTCAGTCGGCGGAGAGGAGCAATAGTGGCACCTGAAAACGAAGTAATTCGGTGGAAATTAGACAGCCTTGATACGCAATTCAGTTCATTTCAGGCCTATCTTAGGACAGGGAATTCGATATAGGGTAGTGTCTAGACTACCCAAGTAGAATTTCATACACTTGAACATGTAACTCGAGCAGGTGCCTCTTTACCAATAGTTTTCTAGCGCCCGTTCTCATAGAGGTTGGAGAGGCTAACAATGGCCAATCGTACGCAGGACAACACAAAATTAATAGATACATCGCATTGTTGCATTTCTACAGAGTTCTTTATTTACTGTAAAGTTGAAATTAGCTCCTTAACTCGACTAGAAAATGGCTCGCAAACTACTAATATATTTGTTCACAATTATATTATTATGTGAAAAGTAACTAAATATTATGTTTGATCACTCCCGTCGTATTTGTTTGTCCGTGAGAGCCCACACGTTGATATCTGGGTCGTTTAAAACACAAATTATTATTAACACGCGAGTACTAACGTTTAGTGGATCATATATACGGATATGGATCTTGCTAGAGTTAACATGTTTTTAGTTGTTAGTGCCTCCTGGTATTAAATTTACAGGCCAGCGAGCTAGCTGCTGATACCGTGTTATACTTAAAAATTTTTTATATTTTACTGGAATATAAAAACTGGAATTGTTTGTTCACTTATTGTATTTCACATTCTAGCGTCCCCGTTCTCACTATTTACGATTCTGTCCGCGGCCATTTTGCTTAATAATTTTTTTGAGATACCTGCTCAGTTAACCGCGATCTACTGTAACATTGCTACTCGGTTGACCCTAGAAGTGCTGGAGTCCCCACAGCTCTGAGGGGTAGTTCGGTTCCGTGTTCGTTTTTCATGCGATAGCGGAATAACAACGTGCCCCGAGACGAAGATCATTCAGACTGTGCAGTGACGCCGCAGCGGGAAGTTAGCCAACTGCTGTAGTCGACGGAATGCATCACGTACTTTCCTCGATTCTTTTTTTTTACAATTTTTGTTGTATTCGTTTAGGTTACGTCAAAGACTCCGCCGATCGTCAAAAGATCTATTTGTACAACATCTCCCACTAAGTTTCTCTTCTACCTTAAATCTTTCCAGCCTTTTGGATATCCTATTGGGTAGGATGAGAACTGGCAGATGGTACAGACGAAGCAGGTAGCCGAATAAGCAACGATAGCATGCGGCGTTTGTAGTAGAGGGCTATAACGGGGTAGTATAACTTCAGCGCACAAGAGAAAATAAGTACCGAAAAGGGCCAGCATGGGTGGAACGAGTGGGTGAGGACAGCACAGCACTGCGCAGGGGAAACTGAAGGTCTGTAAAACGGCCTTTTCCTCGTTTTCGCTTTAGCCTGCCGTGCACTGCTTGCTATTGCGTAAGTGGTAATCGCAATCCAGTGTTTGTCCTAAATAATCGGTCCATCCAGACCTTTTAAGGGGCGTGGTTGGTCACTTAGTCAGCTCACTCCTCACTAGGCGGAAAGCTCGGTGGGCATCGTAGTGTCCGGCAAGGCTAGCAGAACGCCGAGGGCCCAATGAGCACGTCGGCATTTGCCGCTCACCACTCAAAGCCCGCACAGCGGCAGCTAGTCAGCAATCCCTTCTTCCGATGCTCGATCTGCCGTCGTTGTACGAGAAAAGGCTCTGACAAGAGAGTAGGCAGGCACATCGACTTGAACCGAAATCTTGCGGCTTTGCGACTACAGTATATATGTAGACCCCACTTCTTAGTCTAGTTTTCTAACTATCATCGCCAATTGATATTTGGGCCGCTAATCCCCAGCTGCGTCGTTTGACAGTTGTTCCGGAGCTCACTGGCCGTAATCTATGGCCAGACTTTAGCAACCCTACTCACTCAAGCATTCCAAGTATATTGGCAATAGATGATAGATAGGGATAAAAGGAAGCGAGAACAACGTGAGGGAAATCGTGCGCGAGACACGCGCGGCGGGACGAAGGAAAGTAGACGGAGAAAAATATTATTTTGTGTCGTGAAAGCTTGAGCACCGTCGAAGTTTACTGTTATGATCTTTACCGTCTCTGACAGTCCGCTGATAGGACTATTATCGCGCAGGTTCTTTGCTTGCTACCAGTGCTATCGCCAGAATCATTTAGAACGCTGTGGCACATTTTTCAGCGCTAGCCGTTGTATCTTATATTGGAAGACGTATCGCAAACAGAGTCGTAGGGAAAAATTTGAATATTTTTGTGCTTGAATTATTGCTTCATGCTGCGTCTGCTTGTTTATTTATTTGTACGCTTGTTTTGTGGCTGTTCACTCTTCGTTTCATAACAACCGCACGGAGCTAGACTTCTCTGCACGTCATTCTATACTAGATATCTATGCGATACAATTACATCGGGTGGTTTTATGCTTCTGAATGTACTATGACCGTCAGCTTAGCTAGCAAAGTGTACTAATGTATAACATTGACGGTGCCGTAATAAAAAAGAAAAAAAAGCAGATAGCTTATATGAGCAGAAAAGGTTTCGCATTTAACTGTACTAGATAAAAAAATATGTACGACTTGTTGAAATGAACACTGAATTAATCTCCGTTTTCCTGCCGATCTACCGTGTTTTTCAACAGTTAAATTAACTGTACCTGTATCTAGCCAAAATGTTCAGGAACAAACGAATCAATCAGCATAGCTTGTTTGGATAGGACACGTAGCACCCTCTGCGGCATAAACGTTTCCGGTATATTGCATATTTGCAGGCAGGAGTAAGCAGCAAAAAAGCGTGATGTATTGTGGTTCGAGGCTTTTGCTCCACATTATACATGTAACTCGATTTGGCCGTCCGACGCTCGCTCGTCAGCCCGCCAAGTGTGTTATCCGCTACTGACTACTATCATATCTATTTAAATTCTAACTCGAAAGGTAAGGAATTTGCAGATGCTTCAGACTTTAATTCTTCGTAATTGCGCTCCATTCACGGATGGTTTCGCTACGTATAACGGTGTGCAAATTAAATAGCTAGGGATATGCAGATGAGAAAGGTGCTATGGGAAGTGCTAAGTATTTTTTAAACGGGATAGTGGCCATATTTACACCCGCAGCGCGACCTACGTCTAGGCTTGCTTCAGGCAGCGTTGCCTGGTATTGCTTAAGCAGTTATGAGATTCACAGTTCATTGTGGCCTTGGCGAATAACAGAGCTGAGAGTTATAATGGTTGGTTTGACCTGATAGAACAAACGTTTTACCTTGTATAGGACTGTAAACGTTCGCAATCAGCAACTAATAACAAAAAACTCTATCCAGCTTCGGAATCAAGGGAACTCAAAGACATACCCTATGTCATATTTGAGTACAACGTGTTTTGCACTGCATGACGAAGTCAGACACCATTGGTTGGGTCCTGTGGAGGGATGTATGCTCCGCCAAGTTTCGTGCCTGGGGAACAATACTTCAGTGTCGACTAGCGCGAGTGTTTAGAGCGCAAAGTATCTGGCTGATAAAGCCAGGCGTGGCTGGTCTATCCCCACGATACGAGAACGTCAGGGCTCACCTTGCTATTCTGTTGAACAGAAAAACCCGGATTCAGCTAAGAATCAATCAATGATCCTCTACGCTCATAAACACAACTTACATAAGGCTAAATTAGCAATTTTGCTTCCATAAGGTACAACTTTTTACTCATGGTAAGCACGAATGCAATTTCAGCCATCATTTGCACAGTCGTAGTATGACAACATTACCTAACTGCAGTTTATGGCCAGACCTGTCCTACGCGGTGAAGAAGAAGAAGAAGAAGCCGACTTCACTATAGCCCAATTCGGAGGCCGCCATAGAGGTAGCAAAGATCGCTGCGTACCTATCATCTGAATGACAGAGGCAGACCCCTAAATAAAGCCAAAGACCTCGTCGTAGACAACACGCAAGCATCTACACAGTGACCCCGGCAGGGCTGGTGCCCTCGAACGGATAGGAAGACGCACCGACAAACTACGAGCATATACTTCTTGGCAACATATTTTGATCCTTCATTCGGCAGTTTCAGCGCTGCCATATGCAGTAGCAACAGAAAAAGTAGCGTTAGAACGACTGCAGCTTTGGCTGCCGACGGTTGTTCGCTAAACATCTGCTGGCTCTCTTTCTTCTTTCCATAACAAGCGGAAAGAGAGCTGTGCGTTTCTCGAAACATCGGAACGTTGATCCTCTAGTAACAGCAACAACGACAACTCTAGTTCAATGCCAGCAGGAAGGCAGGGAAAGCCGGTCCTAGTTGGGTACCAAAAAGGTCGCCCGTTCCGCTTTAGAAAGCGACTGCTTCGATACTTTGTGCAGCAGGTTCATTTGATAGTTCTCTCGATAGAACATTTAAGAGCTTAAATACGCCACATAGATACGATGTGCACCTACGCGGGCTTCTTGTTGTTAACTGGCTGGATAGTTTGTCTACAAGTGGCTGTACGAACGGCCGGCACCCTAAAGTACAAATGTACAATGTTTGCGCCAGTCGTCGCTGTCATGCGTTTAGCTCGCGTGGGACATCTGCTATCCGACTTTTTTTTTATCTATGACGTACATACGTAGACATTGAGTAACGAAATATTGCCTCGCCGCATTGCGCAATAGATAGGGTCCCTTTGTTCCGTTGAATATTGCCGGAACAGAGGCCGTTTTTTTACATCATTTAAAGTAATTAGATGATGTTACAGTACTACACAGAACAGATCCTTATTAGACGAACTTATGAAAATAGACTAAATCTATTATATTTGCTTAGCTAAGCCTCTTTGCACAAACAGCATTTAAGCGTAAAAAAAAACACGACGAATGGACCACTGTTGGACAATTTATGTTATTAAGTAGAGTTGTTTAGCAATACCTTGAGCTCTTCATAATCATCATGTTGTTGGCATTTACGATAAGGTTATCCCAGTGAACCCAGATCGAATAGAAATTATTCACACGTAACTGGGCATTGAATGTATACGCTCTTGGGTTGTATACCGACCAAGTTGGGTTTAGACGAAAGATTATCGCATACGCCTTCCGGTAACAAATCCCGCAACGCTTCTGTTTTTCGTCGACTGTAGAAACACTCGCAATGCGTATAAATAAACGGGCTAATTACGTATTTTGAATTCACTGACGAAAGTTATTCTTGGTCATTTTTGAGGTAGCAGGGTCGTTAGCGATTGTCTGGATAGGCTCAAGCTGTGTGTTACTGAATTACTCTTACCCAAGTGACTATAGCAAGATGTTTTCGCATTGAAATGCTCGCGTGTAAAGTAGAAGAAAATACACATGACTTAAATTCAAATTCGAGTGTAAAAACCCTGAGCCTGCCGAAGAAAATTAAACGCGATACAAAAAACGGCAAGCATTTTTTTCCTTCTCGATCCTTTCAGATTGTTCGTTGTAAGTCCCTCACTCTGGCAGGTATTCGATGCTAAAACTGCAGTGTTATCGCTTGGCGTAGCAGCGACAGTTAGTAGTCAATTACGGAAATAGATTTTTAATTACACCCCGACCTGGACAACAGGTGTCAAACTAACCCTGGCTGTAAATTGTCCACATCACGTTTCGTAACAAAAAAATAAAAATTTGCAAAAAAAACAAAATATGATATAAGACGATGCCAGATATTTTTTCAGGGTTGTACAATCTATTCTTGATCACTATTTTGAACACGTGCTGCGGTAGGTAGTCTAGCTAAAAATGCTAGACATTTTGAATTCTGCTAAAATGCTCAATCGTGTCGAAAACGTGTTGTTCCTTCACGATTGAAGGTCTCTATATTTTGGTAAGCCATTGGAGTTTGAACGCAAGCCAATGGCAAACCGTGTCCTCGCTTTACTTTTATATCCGATATATATGAAAACTGGCCAATAACATTCTCTGTGAATTGATTTTATTCTACTAGGTATATTGATCCAGCTAAGTTAAGATGTTTTTAAGGATAGCGGATGCTATTCTTCATTTGCCCATATGCTGACTTTTGCAGGCGAGGCAGTACTTACGGAATCACGTATTTGCCAAATCATATTTATCAAGTCAGTTTCATCGTTTGTCTTTGAAACGTATAAGAAGACCCATAGTTTCATTGAGAAAAGTGCTTTACTTCCTTGGCCCAATCTTCCGCCCTACGAATTGACGTTTTGTTTCGAAACACCCTGTATAATTAAACTCCACCCTACCGTTGCTCGCTGATGCGAAACTCGTCAGACGAGCGTTCCCACCGAATAAATAAACCACAGACTTCGTACAGTCGCGCAGAAAGAAGATCGTATGTCCGTTCACTTAGCTGGAAGCTAAGCAATTTCTGATCACTTCTTATTGTCTTTTTTTCTGACGAAGCCAATTTGTTCTCGTCGGAACGGTATTTATTTTCGAGTTCGCAACGTGCGTCCACGTTTATGTTAACTTGAAAGTCTTTAAGGCGACGTGCTGGCAGGTAATCCACTCAGCTTGATCTGCGCCGTTTTTCACGGCGGCGGCGGCGGCGGTGAGAGCAATGGCAGCATGAGTCCACTCTGCTTCTTCGTCCAGAGGCGGGATTTAATTATCCTGTGGAATCAGCGGATGAGTCGATAATTTCAGGATCGTGGGCGCACCACATTCATTCTAGCGTTAACTGTACACACCCTTCCAAAAAAGCCCAGTGCTGGGAGCGCGCCAGTACAGCCCCAAAAGCGAGACCGTCGGTCGGCTCCGACCAGGTCCGAAAATTAAGCACAGCTAATCAATCTGCGAAGTTATCTCCTCCGCATTCTCGAATGCTATGCCCCGCAGGACTAACAGCAGGCGACCTAAAATAACGTCTACAGCTGTAGGAGCCTTCCAGGATGCTCTCTTCGCAGCTTTTCCCAATATGCTCATCCAATCTACCCATACACTGAGTGTATGGACGAGGCTCCTTTTAGCGTAGTTACAATGACCTGTCTTGACGCCGCTCCATATAAAACAGCAACAGAAGTAGCAGCAAGAGGCACTTATGTAAGCGTCACCACCAGCCAAAGACAGATGCTCGGCTAGACTTCAGGCATCTTGTCGCTTCCATATTGTATGAATCCCCACATTAATCACAGTTTAGGACCTACAAATAAGTATTATCGTACGTAATCAACCAGACAGCTCTTGCTCAGCCCGCGTCAGTTACCCTGCTCCTAATATTCTGTGATACCTCTAATAAAGCAGCCTTGCTGCGGTACTCTGCGTCGGATCAGCTTTGGTGTTATGCGCGACAGGCACTTCTCCATCTCACTGCATCTTATCAAACAACGTTGTCCTCGTGGCCGTCGCCACCTTCCAGCCGGCAAAGTTGCAACATCAATGTCGCACTTATTATGTCAATCCTGCGTCATACCGTCGTGTCTGTCTGCGGAAGGAGAACCAGGAGTCTTTTTCGAACTGCGCTGGTCTTTGAGCACAGTAGTAGAGCAATACAGATTATTGGGCTACAGCAGCCGGCGACATGGTATTGCTTTCATATGTGAGTTAGTCCGAAATGTCAGTTAGCCTGTTTGTTTTTATGTGGTCGCCTGGATGCGTGCTGTTAATGCCATGTATGAGCGCCAGTTGGTTTCTTTTCCCGTGGCAGAAAAAGACGCAGAAGCCTTAAAGGTGGAATCCTTAGACAACAACAGCAATAAGCAGTGCTTGCTTCGTACAGAAGGAGCTAACCATCATAGCAACAGCAGCCACCACCAACAGTAGCATTGCGGTCATCCAGTCACCATCGTTATCGACCACCACTATCCGCGACCGCTTCCTGCATCTGCATAGAACAAAAATTGAGGCCTTTCCATGAATGGCCAGTAGTCTTCCAATGAACCACGCCAAGCTAACCTCCCCGACCTGCTCGACTTTTTTTTTTCTATTCACAAGATCGCCGCAAGCCCCCTGCAATAACGGCGACGACGACGAGAGAACAACCATTAGAAACAGGGGGACGAATAACAGCAGCAGCCTCAACGGCAAGCCAGTAAGCTATAATTAAACTTGCCATTGCCGGCTGTAATCTTTGTTGGCCCGCCGCCTGCTACCTCCTCGCGCCACTCTTCTTCACATCCCCAAATCCTTGTCTTTGAGGCATACTTCGACGCTCTGCCGGGACTGCTGCTACCCCAACCACGGCCAACACCGTTTATAAACAATAAACGCTTTTTGCGAGCTGGGACAAGAAACGATGACAACGGGCGGACGGCTCCTCTCTGTGCGCACTATTTTCTGCTGGAGCTTGGCCAAGGAGTGACCGTACGAGACGAATGCTTTCGTGTGGCGCTGGTTATTAGCACCGCTGCTACTATTACTATATGCTCGTGGTAGCTGCCATTCCAGCGGACGACACCATAGCGTCAGACGACCTATCCGATCACTGACACGCTGCCAGGGCTAACCTCGGCATTTCTTGGCTTCTTCGTTGACTCGGCGGCTGGCTTCGCAACTCATGGGAGGCTCAATGACAGATTTCACTCCAGTCAGCCATCTTTCTTCTTTCTTTTTCGTCTCTTTCAAGCATCCAACGTCCGTTCCACATCCAACCATTCGCTGACTGGATCGGGCAAGCCTATAGCGCAATACACTCGGCCGTTGAAAAATCCAACGAGAATCATAGGTTTGTCTTACCCGCTGTAAGAAGCTCGAAACGTATGACGTAATCTCTTAGATTAGCGTCTGCTGGACAATCTGCCAAAGTGCCATAAGCCAAGCCAGATTACCAAACCAGTAACATTAGAATATGAAGAAGTCAGCACAATTGCTGCTTTACGCGAAACTTAATAGTTAAAGGGACAGTCGCTAGATGCAAAAGTAAACGACAACTAAACAAGTAAAATAAGGAAATCCTATTCATGTCAATGAATACTGTCGAAAATGTCCACCTTCGTCAGTAAAAATTCAAATTACCAAAATTAGACTGGCCTCTTGTTTAACCGAAAAGCGCATCTCCTAATTCTGTACCCTCTAATTCCAACCGTTCACCAGACGTACCTGGATCTTGCTCTTGGTTTATGCAAGACGAAAAGTATACGAGAACTGAAGTAAACACGAAAAGGAGTCTCGTAATCACCAATGCTTGTGGCCTCTCAAACATATCCTTAATCCAGTTTGCTTCCCACGCTGTCGCGACCTCCATCGCTCATGCGACTTTTTCCAGTGATCACGACCAATACCGTTTCGTACCATAGAAGAAAATTCAGACGCTTGTCTGTACGGTTGCTTGAGTAGCGCTTCTAGTGATGATGTATCTATCCTTTCCCATTACTTTTTTCCCCTAACGTTGGACACCTTCAGGAACATTTGTTTTCTCCGAGAATTCGAATTCTAGATGAATGTGGAACCAATTATGTTGTTGGAATATAATACAGTACTAATCGAGATAATTCTGATCCTCTATCGATGTGGTTATCCTTTTTCAAATGACTACAATTTATCATACTTGTTTCGGCCATACGGCCGCATGGCAGCAAAACTTCCGAACGAAAACGGGCTAAGTTATAACAAAAACGGAGTTAGCTGGATAGCAGGCCTTAACATTAGGCTCAGTCGTGTCCAATTTTCTATATTTTCGTTTAATTAACGATTTCCGAGACGAAACACTTCGTCCTATAGTTGTCTGTTCGGAATTGAGTGGGGTTACCGCTGCTAACGATGTTTGCTTGAAGAACGAACCTAACGGGCATTGTATCCAGTACGTTAAAACCATGTTCTGACTTTTACATTTGTGCTGCAATAAAAAACCTAAACAGACTTGAAGCGTAATAAATACTAAAGCCATATGTGTCTAAATATATTTCGAAACAGCATACGCCAAGAAGCGCGTTTATTATGCATCAGAGGTCTGACCCTCTCCCTTCCACATTCTGATCAAATATGCATACTTCAGGATTCGAACTCCTCTATGCTTCTCGCTTAGACAGATACATCACCACCGCACCATTACAAGAATGCCATAGATAATGTTATGTCTGATCCCGATATGCGAAGATGTGCGTTACACGAAGAAGAAAGTGTTTTCACTTTTCTGTTAGAGAGCTCTAACTTTGCTCACTATTAGCTTATAGATTTGGCGAAGATCAATTGCCGCGCAAGCTCTATTGGGGTTTCCCGACTTGTCTAATCTTCACCGAATTAAAATGTTATTATAGTACAGCAATATCGTTTTGTATTCATTTGCCTCTGCGGGGCCATTATATTGTCAATGTTGCGGCTCAGTCTGACGAATTGGATTGAGGCGCAGCTTTCATGCATCACTTCATAATGGACGAATCTTGTACAGAAATGACTTGTTTCGAAGCTGTGAAGTGCATGTGATCAAGCATGAATGAAGTAGCCTTAAATATGCAGCTACCAGCTCCCTTTATTTGATTGAAGAGAAATGTCTACTAACAAACCCTACAAACTATAAATCCCAAGTTTGAGGCCAAGATGAAGTTATAAAAATTTGAGCAAATTTAATTGTGAGTGCCCATGCGTAATCTAATCACTGCGAAAGTACATGGAAAGTAATTGTTTTCAGTTGAGATAGGTACCACCGGTAAGTCTGGATTAATTTAGTTAGAGGCGCTGTTGGTGGTGATATGATTAACTTGCTGGAATATTACTAAACGGATCCTTTCCCATTTAATGAAACCTAAACAGGAATCCCATAAAGGATTAAAAGCACCCCTTTTACTTAATTGTTGTCGATGTTAGGGGCTGACAATTTTTTCGAAATCAGTTGTTAAAGCTACATTCATTGAAAGCGAAAAAACCATAGTACGACTCAGCTACTGGGACACCACACAACTCTACGGCTACCTTCTGCAAAGAAGGCCATACACGACAGCCCTATCTGAGTATGCTGCTGTTAATTTGAAGAGCACTGTTTCAAAAGGACCCTTGGAAAGACGCACATATTAAAAACCCATATATGGAAACTACAAACCAGAGCATGCATTTAATTATCGTAGTGGCTGTGTCTGAAGACCAGAAATGAGTTTTTTTAGTTTAGGTAAAAAGGGAATGGTTCCAATCGACAAAGATCCTTAGGCTTTGTTAAGGCAGTAGAAACAAAGCATACATACTTAAATAAACAGATAGGAAAATTCACTAAATTTGAATTTTCGTACCAGAACACACGGTTATGCCAGAAAAAAACCGTAACGCTTTTGTTACACTACGTTTATAATAAAATTATAATCAGTCTGCTGAAGTTACGCGGATGACCGCGACCTCGTATATTATTATTACTGCTATTATCATTATAAATTTAGGCTGTATGTTTTAGACTTACTTTTTCATTATATGGATCTACTATGTCGTGGGCCAAACAGCTATTAACATTGATTCTAATTATTTCTACTTGGAAAAAAAGTACACTGGTAAACACAAGTAGGCGGCATGACCCCTAGAAAGTCCCTACCATATCTTCGCGTTTTTACTTAATTTGACTCGTCTATCTGTGAATGTTCGGCTATTTTCAACATAATTCATCTTCGGCTCATAATGCCATGATATACCTTAGTCTAATCTTGAGACCACTCTCACGCGCACTACCGGGACCTATTTCAGCAAAACCATCTGCTGTTTGGATAATACGAAATAATTTCAAGAGCCTTCCAAATTATCTGGCACTACTACAGAGAAACGCCGTATTCATGTATTCGGAGAATTCTTATATTATTATATATAGAAGAATATTCACTGCCAGATCAAAGAGTAAGAACTTGTCTATAACCTAAACAGATCGCTGATTGTACTAAGACTCATTTTGTAGAGCGGTTTTATCTCGGAAGTCAACTGCCATATCTCTGTTGGTTCGAGCTGTGGAGCTCAACAGTTGATACGTTGTGTAGGCGTCGGCCTTATTTTCTTGGCCTTAGAGGGAAAACGGCTTTGGCTTGCTATCCGTCTTAGCCGCTAGAAGAGACGAAGAACAATGGACTCTAGCAAATTTCCACCCGATGGTATGCTCCTCAACTAAGCTTACGAAGCGAGATACGGGTCGTTTAGCACCGTAGGTATTGGAGACCGAAGAACCTTATACCCTTAACTTGTTCCCGGAGGCCAAACGACTTAGTCGCTACACAAGAGGCCGAAAGCGTCATTAGCCAAGGGCAAGTGGACACTGGCTGTCGTGTGTCGGTCACGATAGACCTCGGTGGTCAGAAATCTCGAGATCCTTAGAATGTCAACCTTTTACACCGCGAGAATAGCTAGACTGGCATCTCTGGAGCCAAGACCCCTGCGGATCTCAATATGGGTCCGACGCCTGAGGCCATTCCTAGATTAAACTTCGAGCGAGTGAAGAAGGAGGCACACGAACATAGGCGCTGTAGTCTTCTACGGTCCAGCCGGTAAGGACTTACACGCACCTCCATTAAGGTCCTCGGGGACTCCAACCAGAAATCCTGCCCTGACGATACTGTTCGATACAAAGACCTTCATGGCACAACAAAACTGAGACAATACTTAAAGGTTTGATACCTCGCACAATCTATCAGTGACAGCTCTATTACACTAGTTGTGGTTCAGTCTAATGGTAACTGTGATATCCGACTTAATTGTGAAGGCAAACACGAACAACAAACCCTTTCCATCACCTTCTTGGGCCTCCCGTAATTATCACCATTTGCTTCGTTTCAGGGTTTGTTGAACCACCATAGGTGCACTTCGATGCTCATAAGTGAAATGACTAGGCAAAGGTTTACTAACCGGTAATGAATTGTACTACCGTCGGCCACCGAACGACGGAAGCGTTGGTCTCGCAGCAAAAAAATCGGGTAGTGTGCTTTAGTTGTGTACGTGGGGCGAATAGGGACATGTACCATCAGGAATCGAAGCAGAAGATATTCGACATTCCCGAGGGAAGAATGACCGAAAGAACGGCCGAATAGATGTCACTTGCCCATTGTAGCTAGAGACCCTTTCTGCGATTCTACAGCTTGCTGGTCTACTACCTCGACTGGCCCGCCGCTGTCACTGCGCGTCTTCCGTAGCCATATAGGCGGTCAGCGATCGTTCCGTGAATCATTAGGACGAAACGGTATCCTTATCGTTTTGTTAGATTTGGTTTGACTTATCTATTTAGGTGTTCATTATAAGTATGAATGCTTATTATTTATAAATAGATCATAAATTGTATCGTAAATAAATCGCTTTTAGCGGACAGGAACACGAATTACGCCTAAGCATGTGCGGTACGAGCTTAAAAAGTGTTCTACTCGGCGTGTATATCGGTATGTACGATGTAGGTGCACGCTGAATTGAAAACTTTAATCCACTTCAATAATTGTTAGTATCTTCCCGTACAATTAATTTCACCTATCACTTGCTTATTGATGGAGTTCAGGTACGTTAAATGTAATGGACAAAAATCCGAAATCGGCAAGGGCAAAAGCAAAATTCGCTCGAAATGACAAATGGCGATGCGGGCCTCACCGTTTGCGGACTAACTTTTGTCTGGGTGTTTCTCGACGAAGCCGTCGAAGAAGATTCCGTCCCCAAAAGTCTCCTTTTCAATGCAACATAGGGCTAAATGAGGGTATTGTCGATTTTACTGGAAGTAAGCGGATTTACAATAGCCGAAAATGTTAATCTACTGTACCCGGAAACTTCACAGCTTTACTGCTATTAATACCAATACAGTAAATGCATACAGGTACGACTTGCTCTTAAACAATTCTTTCCTAATAGACTGAGCGATTCATTACGAATCTTACCTTTATAATTATCACTATTGTTATTAGTACTGTGTTATTTTGAAGTAGCAGTCCTGCTCTCAGTATCTCTATATTGATATATGTGTTTCGGCCTATCTTTCATTTTGTTGTACTTTTCCGCAAGTCTCTTTCCACCTTTTCCTCTGCCTGTTGATCGCGTATCGCTGACAGATGGTCCGGTTTTTTCAGTAACTTGTAGCAGTGGTGCGGCGATTGCATGAGATGGAGTACTGCTTGTAGGCCTGGTATCGACTTATTTCTTAGACTAGACTGGGGCCTATAGCGGTATCTATATATATATATATATATATATATATATATATATAATGGCGTTTCAGCCGCGTGTTCGGCTGGCAAAACGGCGTGAGAGACCATGAGCAGGAGCAATCGTTGTTCTTGTAACTTCCCTAGATAACTTGATTTTTCCGTTGGCAATGCGTAGACGCACCTTATACCAATGATGCTTATGACAGTTCTCGTTACTTTTCCTGAACGAATTTGTGGTAGCTTTGCCTTCTCTGTTGCATTAAATTCTGATTGATTTTTTTCCGAAGATGTCGATCTGATGTTGTGTTATGTATACTCGACCCATTATTGTCATGCCTATAAGGCTCGACAGATTCTATGATTGGCTTCTAAACGCTGTTGGATAATGCTACGTTATGTGATTGAAAAAATTGGTTCTTAATCCGATAGTTGTGCGCATCACTCCATGTGGGTATAACTAATATGTGTCGTCTGTTTCTGACGAACTCTCTGTGGGGGACCTTTTAGATTCCAGGCCTAATCTATCTGATGCAACGCCCTCTCATCCATTCATGTAAGAAGTCAGTCGACTGCGCGAGGACCCATTGGCCTCACAGAACTTCTCCTGTCCCCCAGTCATAACCTTTCTTCTTCTGTTGTTGGCATATTGAGACTGCTTGTATATCGCGGTGGAAGTTTGGAGTTTCATGTCAGGTTGCGTTATCCATCCAGGCCAGAATGCGCTCGACATTTTTTATATTATATATATATATATATATTACTCTCCTTCCTATGCTTTTATTTAGCGTAACCTTCTTACAAGGCGTTTGCTTATTGTGACTGCACTTTCAGCCGTGGACCGTAGACTTAGTAATGATTGGGTCCGCTAATTACATATTTAATTTGCCATATTGCCTAAGATTTCCCGAATTGTCGAATCTTGATTTTCAATTGAGTCTGTGCATGTCTTTTAGGTCTCGGAAAGTATTGTCAATGATGCTATTGGTTGGCATGTCTCGCCCTGATCCGTCAAGCTCGGACGAGTTGGTGTAACTATCTACGGGTGATCAGGTACAGGTCGCCGTTCCACACATGCCCTTATGCAGCGTTTGCCAACGCCGTTGTGGGATTTGTCGTTTGGAATTTTTTCTGTTTTTCATAACTATGAAGCCAATTCGCAATCCGTAAATCAAAAGGCTACTGATCCTGTTTATAAAGAGCCACGATACAACGGACAACTTTAAAATAACGCAAAACTGTAACATAACCAGCAGAGTAAATCTACCCGCTAGATAACAACGAATGCTGATAATATTTAACCTGTTAAGAGTTCTGAGAGATCTCGCGTTATATTATGAAATTGCTGGGAAACAACAAACACTTTTTTTACTTGGTTTGTCATCTGATGTTTTCATTCCGCATCATCGAAAGCATTAGAATGACTGAAGTTGTTATTCCTTTTTTGTTTCCACTTGTTCGGGTATACTAGTACGCATTAACTGGCTTCCGGTAGCAGCCTAGAACGCAAAGAAACAAGGCTCGCAAAATGCGTATCTTTATTTATACCTAGACAAGGAACTGAAAATTAGATTATAACATGCATGACGTCCGCAGTTCGCTGCGCGCTTGTAGCTAGAAAGAAAGTTGTAGCTAGACCTTATTTACAAAAGCAAGTGACTTGAGATCAAATCGTTATGCTCTGAATGTATGGATTGCTATGTGAAGATCTCTTTTTCTCGGATATTTCAAATTGGTCCTAGCTAAAAATCGACAAGTGATAGGATACCTAGGAGGACGTTGTCCTCTAAGTGGTACATTAGATTCAGTATCACCCGATATCTTTTTTTCGATATATATATATATATAGCCCTCTTAGACTGGTTTATCTTTCGCTAAGTCCAACTGCTTCATTTCAGGGTCTATTTACTTTAGATTTCAGCTATTATTTTTACTTTGTCCCAAACGTTTTAAATGTATTTGAGGTCTGTTGTGATGTTCGTCTCAGTGGAACGATAAGAAGTGAGTGGAAATTGCAGAGTAAAAATAGGTGACCAAGCGGAAAGTTTTATGTAATAGGTGAGCGAGGTTCGACAATTTCGTCGTTTGTCCGCAGAAGCCGCTCCCGACAGGGCCGATAACAACGCTGTAACCCTATTCGAGCTCCTAAAACGTTTATAAATATTTGGGACGCGAATTTCTACTGATCCACCTACAGCAAAAATGCAACAGTGTACTTGTTTTTGTAGGTTAGAAATACTCGTACTCAATGCCTCAAGTATTTTTTGGCCTTCGGTAGAACGGCTCAAATTAGGCGGTGCGTCTCAGTTTCTTATAACACGTCAGTTATCAAGCACTTGAATTTTCTATAGAGAGAGAAAGTATTTCCGTTAGATAACAACAGGCGTATCGATATGTTGACATAGCAGTACAGATATAAGTGAAATCTTTGGAAATTTTTGTTAGTTAGTGATTCACTAATCAGCATCCAATCATTTTTTCTTAGGTACTGTCTCAAATAGCTTTACCGTAAATATGGCTACATGTCGTAATGAAAAAAAAACACATGCGGCTTCTCATAGGCGTCTCCAATCAGCCAATGCTTGGCACCATATATACATGATGAACGATATTTAGAGGTGTTTGCCTACTTCGTGGCTTCCGCAGTAAAATATAGTGCGATTTTATTAATGCGGTTTGATCTTACATGCTACGACCTACAGCTAAATCTATTTGTCAAACTGCTTCCAATATCTCGCACTCGGTAGTCGGTTATCGTTAGAGAGAGCTATGGGAGAGCCTATAAACGCTTAAGGACCACAACAAAACAGCTGCTTCAATCCCACACAGTAATTAACTTACGTTTACCGTGAGCGCCAGAGGAGTAGTGTCAAGTGACCAAAGCAAGTTTATCAATCCTGTTTCTGGCTGTCTATCTATCCGCAGTAAATAACGGTTCAATCCCAGTTATCATACAGCTGCAGAACCATTCAAGGGTGAGATTTAAGGGTCAGTTTCGCCCTACTAGCAGTAACGAATACGTTGGTAGGCTGCGCAATTTAGCTTCGTCGAAGAAGTCCATTTTGTATCAGACAACCGAAGTTATACTTCAGTGATAAACCGACTTACACATGTCGTCTCCTCATTAATGTGATACTTATTATTTTTCTAGCTAGATATCGCATACCTTAGATAGTACATTGGTGTCGTCTGATAGTTGAGGTTTGCCAACAGGTGTTGTACTAAAATTCTTAAGAAGCCTTAAGTTTGAAACGAAACGTCTCGAAGACACGTAAAATGTGTACTATAACTTTATTACGATAAACGTCCAAATGATGCCCAAACCCATAAAAATCGTGCTATTTATGGTCGTTATCAGTGAAAACAATCCAAAGATGGTTCTGTCGCTGGACATTTTGATGTGGAAAATGCTCCTTGTAGTAGCCGATAAAATTATTACAAAACATCGGTAAAATTAATCCGTGAGTAATCATGACCATTGTCAAGAAACTAACATCCACCATCAAACAGCTTTAAAACAATCGAAGAAAAAGCTCGATGTTTAAGTGCCCCGTAAATTGATGCGAAATAATTGACGCGGTCGTAAATCTATCTGCAGAACTCTAGAGAAACATGACAGGATCGAGTGAATCATAAGCGACAATGTACAATAAGAAAATGCGATGGTATGTGCTTGGTGGGATTCGAAAGGACCGTACATTAAGGTTTGCTGCTGCGGCCTGGCAAAACGGTTCCTTCTGACATCTGCTGTCAACAGCAAACAAAATTATACCACGCCAAACGAAATAAAGCGATCAGGATTGGTAAACAGAACGGGTGTCATGACAACATCATACCGTACCCGATATGAATTAAATAAATTTGGATGGAATGTTTTAATGCATCTACCATATTACCCGGATCTTGCACTACCGAGCTATTATTTGTGCCGGTCTTTCCTTAAACGGTGTTCAATGGAAGAACGCCAAGGTCGCTTGTCTATTACTCAGGAACCACAGAAGTTCTTATTATAGTATAATCTAGTATAATATAATAGAGGAAAAAGGTTATCGATCAACTTTGTTCGTATCATGTTTATATATAGATATCTGTGTCTATTTGAGTATGGCACGATTGGTTTTGAATACTAAACAGAAATGTAACAGTGCCGGTAGAGACAGATTTTCATCTATTTTTTCTATTTGTCTTGACTATGGCATAAGGTTTAATCGATAAACATCATACATTGAATCCTGAACACGATACGCTATCGGTGTAAGTCAACTTCGTATACCTACGAATGAATTTTCTATGATTAATTGGTTTACCTTATACATAGCATAAGTTTCAACTTTCCACCCCCCATTATGCAAAACCACGGGACCGAAGCCTGAACAGAACATCGTTAAAAAGATGCGCCTGATAGGTCAACAATCCCCTCGTTAATGTTAAACACAGCCGCTATAAATAATAAATATGACTTCTATCAATCCTATTCCGCTTTGACTACTTGTCCTAGGAGATGTGCGCCGTACAAATTCTCGAGACTGTCCCAGAATCACATTTTAGAGGATAACTTTATAAGGTAATTCGCATATATATATGTTTATAAGGCTATGAACGTGCAAGAACATAGATTTGAGTCACTGAAAATGCCTGCGATGCAATGACTTGAAGTCTCAAAATAGAAAATCAAGTAAGTACTTTGTTTTTTTTGGTTTAATTACTTACTAATTCATCGTTACTTAATTGTGTTATTATTATTAACGTATACTTTGCCAAAGATGGCCCAAGGCCAACTTCGATTCCTTCACGTGCCATATTAATCTGTAATAGTTATTTCTAACTTGAGATTTTTGGCATTGGCATTTTTGGAGAAATCGCTGTTTGCGGCCGGTTCGTTGAATAGTAACTTCTGTAATATATGTTCAAATTTTATACTTAAATGCCGTGTTACGCATTTAACGAGAACTGCAGACTTGTTGGTCCTTAATCGAAGTTCTAGTTTATTTAAACTAGCACCCGGAAACATAAATGCCAATGTTCCCTTCATAATTAAGTTTAAAAATTACTTTGAGCCAGAATCAAATGTAGGAACGAGCTTACTTAAAGAGGTGTGAAGACGTACGGAAGCGTTCATTAGGAGAGGCTTATTACTGAAGTTCTATCTAAACTGTTCAGCCCAAAATGCCGAGCTGTAATAACCGGGCGCAGATACAGTAAACTAGTCATCTGATAGTGATGTGATTGTCCTGAGATTTGGCCGTGCGTACGTACTACATTAGCTCGAATACTGTATAGAAGCTGATTGCAAGCCAGACTAAATAGCCTGAAAGCTATGTGTCTTAATAACACCATTTACTTCTGCGTAAAATTGTTGATTTAATGTTAAAATAGACGCGTGTCCATTTAGGCCGCTTCGACTACGAATAGCTGTTAGAAAATTTAATTGACGCTATAATTTTCACGTCCCCGCCATAAGTAGCAACCTGAAAACTTTCAGCTTTGAAAAAGCGTACGACGCCATCTTAGAAAGATGATGGCAAGATGCTCTTTTAACAGCTCAGTGCTTCTCGCTAGATACGGCGATTTTTTCTTACATATTATCGTCCTGGCTGCATGAAGTCTTCGTTGATCTCGGCCCGTATTCGATTCTAGCTCATGGCCAATTAGCGGTAATAAACAAGGTAATTTTCTAAATTAAATTTCTGAAACGTTGATCACAAGCGCAATGTAACTAAGAATCCGTTGAAAGTGAATTAATACACAGTTTCAATGTTTAATTATACCTTTACATAATGTGTTATAGGATAGAACAAAGTCGACACTGCTTCTTTGAAAGTGTAACTGATTGAAAATCGCGTCCGTATGCCGGTCCTTATAATTGAGTTTGTCGGCCTAAGCCACGTCATCAGTTCCTTTCTATGATGATAAACTATAGTAAATAGAAAAGAAATATATATATATATATTGATTTTGCTTAAAGACCAATCCAGGATGGACGATTAGTTGCGTCCGAATTGTTAAGTCCTTTAAACGAGGAGCAGCCATAAAACACAAAGTCGAAGATCTACCACTTTGAACGATGTTCTTCACAACATAAATAGTCTTCCCTATGGCTAGAGGTCCCTAGTTAACTGCGACAATTATTTTCCGCGAATTTGTAACTGAATAAAATGAAAAAAATTGCGAAAATGTAAAAAAAATTAGTTAGTAGTGGTCTACTATTAAGGTCTTTGACTTGCTTTCTGCATACCAATTGTCACAATCCCTAAGCAATAGGCTAGTTGTTTCTTTTACGTTCGATTTATTTAACGAGAACATTACAGATTCTCGTTAAATAAATAAACAGAAATGTTGATAAAACTGAACAT